ACATTTCTAGTGAGCTTACAGCAGAGATTTTCAATCCTGTCTGCACATTAAACTCACCTAGAAAGTTTATCCAAAATTCCAATGCCTGGCTCTTACCCTTAGAAAATCCAATTTAGTTGGTTTGTGTTGGGTCCCAGCCATCAGCATTTTTAAAGCTTCCTAAGTGATCCTAATATGAAGCCAGATATACGAGATCCACATTCAGAAACTCCCTGAAATCTCTGCATAAAATGGTCTTCATTCACTCTCATTCAACAATGACGTTAAGTAATCATTCGCAATATCTGATATCTAGCCAAGAATTATGAAAAGTCCAAGAACAATGTGGTCCAATTTTCTCTTTGTTTCATAGTTACTAGTAATCAGTAATCTGGCAGATTGCCAGTATGACTCCTATTTATAGAAAAATTCTCCAGGAGTCAGAAATTAGGGATTCTCACTTCCAAACAAATTTAACCTTTCACAAAGGAAAAGGTAACTGATCTCTTAAACAAACATAAAGGAATGCAAAACAAAAAGAAAAAATGTTTCTGAAGCTTTCCTTAACATCATTCATTATTAATGCATTGGAACACTTAAATGGTTTTAAAAAGAATGTAAAAAAGAATGTAAAACACAGGGAAGCACAGATCATAAAATATTAGCATATTCATATAGAGCTTTAGAGAGTGTTGTATTCTAAAACATAGTGATTCAAGAACAAATGCTTAGTAAAAGGATAAGGAACTGACAAAACGAGAGGAAAAATAAACACTTGATATTCTGGAGTCATGCTAATAAAACTGGCAAAGAGATGAGGATAAATCCACATTTATTTAACATTATAATAAATATTGACCCAAAATGCTTCACTACTTACTCCATCAATTCGCCTCTATTGCAAGATATATTCTATGTATATAATAACACATATTTTTTAATAGATTCAGTCCATAAATATTATTCTATAACTTGTTTTTACTCTTTATCATATGCCTTGAATATCTTTCCATACAAGCATATATATTAACTTATTTTATTTAAAACTTACGTAATGGAAAAATTATGGGTATCATATGGATATATCATAACTCATTTAATCAATCTCTAATTTATGAATAATAAAGGCAAGTTTCCAGTGTTTTACCAAAATAAAAAGACTGTTTTGAGATCTTTACAGTCCTTGGCCTCTATCCAAATAATATCATATATATTAAAAAGTGATTTCTCAGAAACACTCATTCATATGCGAATAATAAAAAGTGAGAAAATTTAACCTAAGAATTGAAATATTTTTGTGTATACTGAATTTAATAATTAAGAAAGTGACATATTATAGCTTGTAACAATTCTTTTTTTCAGCTTTTAGAAAAAAAAAATGCTCAGATCTCAAATATTTCCAAAGGCCCCTGAAAAACCTAAGCATTGTGCTTACAGTCCTTAATGTATAAAATCACCCCAAGCGAGAATAAAACAAAAAATAAAAAATAATACAAAGAACTTACTATGTGCCAAGGATTATTCTAAGCATTCTATATTTATTCATGCATGTAATCATGAGGTGAGTGTCATTATTATTATCATATTACATTTAAGAAAAATGAGGCATAAAGGAATTAAATAATCTGTCCCGTTTCACAAATGTAATAAACTGTACTGTTAGGATTCAGACCCAGGCAATCCATTTTGTTATGCTTGTACATATATCTTTGCATACTTGTAGGCTAAAGTTCTAGAAGAAGAATTTCTAAATCAAAGGGTACATGCAAGTTGAATTTTGGTTTATATATATTACCAAATTATCCTCCAAAAAGTTTACAGTAATCTACATTTTTGCCAAGACCTCATGAAGGGTTATTTCTCCATTCCTTACACAATATTAGGCATTATCAAATTATTTAGTCCTTGCCAATCTGGTAGGTGAAATAGCTTCTTTTTTAAATTTATATTTAATTGTCACAGAATTTTTGGTTATTTGTATTTATTTTTCTCAAACTACCTATTTGCTTTTTCATTCACTTCTATTGGATATAGTATTTCAACACAATCAACAACAAAATTAACAAATTAATGCCTCAAGAAATAAATTAGTTTAACTTTAAAGCAATAATATTATAGTTTAAAAAAAGATTTTCCTCTTACATTACACTAAATAAATATATATGTAATTCCATTAAGAGATATACATATATATTTCTATTAAGAGATTCCTACATATATGAATATCTATAGAGATATCTTTAGATAGAGATAGAGACCGACATAGAGATAGAGATATATTAATGGAATTACCTTATATTATCTTAACAGTGCCAAGAGACACACTGAATAACTCATTTTTGGAACTAAATTCTTACGGAGAGCCTAATCTTAAACTCACATCCCAGATGAATTACACTGCTCAGTGAAATGTAGCTATCGTTTTGCCTCAGTAAGATGAAAGCAAGTAAATCTTCTACCACGTTATCAAAGATTTATTTTCTTCAATTTATTACATTTTTGTTCATTGCTTCATCACCATAATTAAGAAATAATGATTTATTTATGAGTATAACTAGTTTTGCTCTCTTTATAACCTGAGAAGCAATAAATCAAATTCTTCTTTGGTTACAAAATCTCTTATTTTGCATAAGCTTATAACAGGTAGCTATTTTTAATTTTACTACATTACACTCCAATATCTAAATGCTCATTCTTGCTTGGTGTTTATTAAAATAAATTGATCGATTTTAGTGTAAATTCCTTGAAAGTATTTACTCTTGCAACCCTAAATACACAGTAAATGTATTTTGATGAACAAATGATTATTTAGGAACAATATAATGATTTAAAAAAAACAAGAGTAATTTATGTTACAATCCGTCACTAAGCAACACAGGAATTAAGAAATGGGATTTGTCATTGCACAAGAACTGAGAAACTCTACCATTCATTTTGTACCACACATTCAACTCTATTGTTTAGAGCAATTTCTTAGCCTCAGCACTACAGACATTTTCAGCAAATAATTCTTTGTTGAAGGAGGCTGCCCTGTGCGCTGCAGGATATTCAGCAGTAACCATAGCTTCTACCCGCTAGATACCAGTAACACGTTCCCACTTGATAAACAAAAAACGTCTCCAGAGAAAACGGAAACCTTGTGCACCGTTAGTGGAATTAAAATTGGTACGGCCACTATGATAAACAGTATGGAGGTTCTTTAAAAAAATTAAAACTAAAACTATCTTATGACCCAGCAATTCCACTTCTATTTATCTGAAGAAATCCAAATCACTAACTAATTCAAAACATATATGCACCCCTATGTTCACTACAGCACTATTTAAAATAGCCAAGATATGAAAGCAACCTAAATACTCATCAACAGATTATTAGATAAAGAAGATGTGGTACATATATACAATGGAGTATTACTCAGCCATAAAAAAATGTTATCTTACCATGTGTGACAATATGGATGGACCTAGAGCGTATTATGCTAAGTGAAATAATTCAGATAGAGAAAGACAAATATCATATGATTTCATTTACATGTGGAATCTAAAGAACAAAATAAACAGCAAGAATAACAAAAACAGAAATAGACGCATAGATACGGAGAACAATCTGATGGTTACCAGACTGGAGGGGAGTTGGGGGGCTGAGTGAAAAAGGTGAAGGGATTTAGAAGTACGAATTGGTAGTTACAAAATAATCACAGCAATGTAAAGTACAGAATAGGGAATATAGTCAATAATATTGTAATAACTGTGTATAGTGCCATGTGGGTACTAGACTAATTGAGAGGATCACTTTGTAAATTATATAAATGTCTAACCACTACTCTGTACACCTGCAACTAATATAAAATAATATTCAACTGTAATTGAAAAAAAAATGTCTCCACATATTGTCAAATTTCCCTTGGAGATAAAAATCACCTAGGGTGAGAACCACTGGTTTAGATATAACTGACATCGCAACAGTATATCTAGATCCAAAGTGAAACTACTGTGAAGGGCTTCAAAAGTGGAGAACAGCTTCAAGAATCACAATGTGGCTGCTAGGAAAAATCTTCTAATGCAGGGTACTCCCATGCCTCCATTCCTCTCATCAACAGTCAAGCCACCATAATTATCAAGCCTTCATCTTGTACAGGTGATTCAACAAGCATGTCAGTATGGCCACCTTTAAAAATATTAAACCCCTTTCTTGTCCCAAGATCGTACCACTCAGTTACTTATCAACAATACTACAATGTTACTGGACAATAGAAAGAAGATCGTTTAATTATATGAGATGAGGAATCTTGGCTGAGTCTTTTGAGGTGAACTTCCAACAAGTTAGATGATATAACATGTCCACTATTGAAGAGAAAATGAGTACGTAATCATTTCTAGCTGTGGTTCTGATACAGAAACAAGTACATACAGTGCTTATTAATTGATATGTTTCTTTGCTCCTAAAAAATATATATCAACATATAGGTTAAGTATTTAAAGTAGAATGCCTTGTTTTCTAAATGTAAAAATTACTATTAATAAGCTTTATTATTTGAAAAGGACTAAAAAACACATTAAGCTTTCTCAAAACTCCTTTAAAATGTTACGTAACAGCAAGAACAAAGGAAAAGAACTCAATTGAAAGTCAAATGTTTATATAAATCGCTGTTGACATCTATGAGCCTCATCCCTAATACTCAGTGTCCTAATTTCCAAAATAGTTCTGCCAATAAGTTTTGAGGATAACAGGTTTTAAAAAAAAAAAGTTTCAAAAATAATGCATTATTCCAATATAAGATATTTGCAACACTTGCATGAATACAATATCACACAGAATTTTGATTTTCAGAATTATGAAAATTACTGAATAGGAGTAAAAGTTAATATATTTCTCAAAACATTTCATTCTAACCAAACAACGGTTTATTTTTAATTTACTTTTCATTACTTGCAAAAAATATTGGGATTTTAAATACAATAACATACAACTGTCAATAATCATACTAATATTTAAACTGTTCAGGCTTTCCAAATACTTACATTGCTTGCAAACTTTCTGCTGTTAAATTATTCCACATAATCTCATTTGCCTGAAGATTTTCATTGTCTTCTAGTAAGGAAGTATCAAACTCAATTTCTTGCTCTTTAGCAGCTGATGTTCTAGTAAAGCATGCCAAACAATTTTGATCAATATGGAAGTCCTATCATAATATATCTCAGTACATACCAAAGACAGAATATTTTTTTATTATCCAAAATTATGTTCACAAAGTATAGTAAACACAAACAGTATAAATCAAACTCCAGGCATCAAAGATCTAGTCATGTAATTTCAGCCTTAATTTCCTCATTTACAGAATATGAATATTAACTGGTTTTTATTTCTGTCATAACGGTAAGGAATATAAAATAAGATGACAGATGCATGGAAAAGCAATTGGTATATTATAAAGTTGAAAATACAAAGTCATAGTGTTATTATTATATAAGTTCTAAAAAGAAAATACAATTTCATGGATTAAATACAGGTTTTAAGCAATGATATAGTGACAACTGAAAATTTTTAAAAGATTATATAGTTTTCATCATTAAGAAAGGCCTTTGGGAATAATTAAAAGCAGACACATTAATCTGAAATATCCAATGTCCTAACAAGCTCTTCAATATTTCTTATTTTAATTTGGTTAAATATCACATGATAGAAAAAATAATACTGTTATCAATATTGAAAGAAGAGTCAAAATACCATACATACCTGTGAACATCTATGAAATTATTGTATTCTGTGCTAGGGTCTATCTGCTCAACCGACATTTGAATCTCTTTATGGACATTCACTATTTCCTCTGTGACAAGACTAGTTATCTGGCTGTATTCATCAAATATACCTTTTCTGAAAATAGAAATAAAATTTTACATTTTTAAGTTTATCAAAAAAACACAGAACCAAAAAGAATTCAGAATAAACCTAAGAAATGTAATATCATGTTTACAGTGGATGGTTTCATGTACCTCTTTCTTTCATACACCTAGATAGTAAACGGAAGGGATTATAAAAATGTATAGATTAAAAACTTATATTTGATATAACTGCAAATGATCTAGAATAAGGTATTACCTTATCCAATATGAATTTGAGATGTCTAAATGTAAGATCCACGTTGATCACTTTCTATTTCTAAACATTATCATAGAAATGTTGGATTCTATAACATGGAACTGTAAATCAATTTATGTCACTTTAATGTTTCTTTCCAGTGTCTACCATTTCCTCACATGCCTTACCACTTAGTTCTTCTCTTTTTCCTGGACCTCTGCTCTTTTCTGTGTACTTAGAGAGTTCAACTGGTTCTATACCTTCAATGACATCTAGATCTCTTCTCTTGATCTCTAGTCAGTAGCAAAAATGTCATAAAATTTAATAGCCTTACCTAATAAAAGCAAAAGCAAAACCTATTCTATTACAAAGACCTGACAGCCAGCTTAAGAATGCTGTGATGTAAAAATAGACCATTGATCATTAGTAGCCTCAAAAGTAGTATGGACAGACAAGCTTATTTTACATATGTCCAAATAAATATATAGCATTGTTTTTCTTTTACAAAATCATTACAAAATTTCTCTTATTATGAAGTATTCTCTCAATTACTTTATTTTAAATAGCAAAATACTGTTTGGGTAAAAAAAATTAGATTTAAACTGCTTCAAGAAATGCCGATTTGGAATGATTACAGAAATCACTTGACAGACACCATTTTTTTAAAAAGGGGAGACAGAGTAATTTAACAGAGATTCAGTAAATATCACTGGGGTTATAACCTCATAATTCAAGGTACTAAATGATACAAATGTAAATGAACTTATCTAGGTAGCTCTTATAAAATACAGTACATGGTTATAACGTGGAGATCATTAATATTCACCTTTAAGACAAATGGGGGGTAAGGATGAAGTCTCCTAATGTTATATGAATGAATCCTGGGACATAGGATCAATTTCAGTGATATCACCATGCTCAGATTTTTTAAATGCTAGATCTAAAATAATTTATTAGAACGTAAAGATAATATGCTGTGGGGAACCATGCTATGTCTCAAAGAGATGTTCTAGAAACGATGAAGATACTATTATTAAAGACTCTCGTGAAGAATTTTAAAATTTTTTGATTCATTAAATAAGAAAAATATTTCTAAATCAATAATTATGTAATTTAAAGTAGACATAACTAAATTTATAAATTAAATATTTTAAGTAGACATTTCGCTATTTTATCTCAACACTCTTAAAAGTTAACATTTTTAAGTTGACTAAAAACACTTTATTTATCTTACTGGGAAAATGAGGGATCACCTAAACCAGCTAATAAGAGATGAAGTCTACCAAAGGCTAGCTTATCTCTTTCTGCTCTCTTGAATAGATATGTATGGTGTACATGTGTGCATTTGACCAAAGTATACTACTACTTCCTTGAACGCAAAAACTGTAGCCTACTCATCTGTATATCCCTCAAAAAGCACCAGGTAGTGTGCTCTGTGTACAGCAGAACTTTAATAAACATTTCTTGATATTAATCTCACACAAGAATATGGGAAATAAACCTTCAAAAAAATTATTTCCTTTGGGCTTTGCAGTTGCTCGAGATTTAAATACCCAGTCCTCTGGAGACAGATATCTATTTCTTAACACTTATCAACTAACGATTTTTTTTTTCATATAAATTTCTAGCTAACTGGAGCAAAACAAAAACATATAAAAATAAGGGCAATTCTTGGGACTAGCTAGGTTTAGGAGATGACCATAAACTGAAGGGACACCAGAAGTAACAATCAAGAAAAACCAAAGTAAAACAAGTCTGAGATATCCATTGAGCTAGATCACTGAGGAAGCTTATAAAACACAGACAACTTTTACACAAAAGCTTAACTAGAAAAAAAACTAGTGTTAAAATCATTTCATGAAGGGATTTTACGTCCAAGGGGAAATGTATCTTACAGTGCTTTTATCATTTCTTCTTGCATCTTTTGTAAGGAGTCCAGAAGCAGAGGAAGTGTGGTATCATAATACTGATTCTGATGAAGCTGTGCCCCTTTCAATGCCAATACATACTGATTGTGCAACATATGAAGTTTCATTGTGGCTTTGTCATATCGTTCCTTAGCCTTTTCAGTTTCTTTCCCT